TGTACATTTTCAATATTGCCTTATATCCCCAAACCAAATATTAAAATATAAGTGATAATTTGTATTATTCAGCACTTCAAACATGACCCACACTTTCATGTGTACTTCTAGGAAAATGAAGACAATGTTTCATTTTGCTAACGTTTTCCCAAAGCATGATTTACTTCTACACAAATAATTTAACTAGGCACCACAAAGTCCCCAAAACCAAAATATCCAAAGCATCTGGTCCCCATAAAGAGTATTAAGTTCCCTAAAAACATCTTTAAACTTATTTTAGATACATTTTCTGATTAAAAAAATAATACTATTTGATATGGAAATCTTCAGCCATTGGAAGCTATGAAATAAAATAAGTTTGGAAACACCTACTGTGGTAGAAACAAGAATGTCTTTATTTTCTTCCTTTCAATACTGAACTCCAGTAGAGCTTGGAGTCCAAACTCAGATACATGCATTGGTTAATACAGCTGCCCTCCGAGTAGTCATAGAGTTCTATCAATAATCTGTTGATAGCCACACGCAACCCCCATGTAGTTTTGTGTGCATGTTCACCGTTCTTGTCTAAATGGTATTAAGGCTGAAGAAAGTTTTCTTCGAAGAGAATGTTCACCACTGAAATTTGCATTTATTGCATGATGAAGTTAAATTGTTTTTAGGTAGATACAAATTTCTAGTAGAGTAGTCTATTACTTCAAGTGTTATGTGTTTTTCTTAAATAGAATTTATGAGTGAGAAATACACTTCTTTTTTTAAAAAAATGAACATCATAAGGCAAAAAAAAAAAAGGAAAGTCATCCTTTGGAAAACTTCAGAGATGACTGCTCCTGAATTGCTTTTCTTGCCATAGGAAGTCATTTTTATATTAGTAAAACAATATTAGTAAAATATATCACAAGACCTAAAATGGAGTCCATTTTGGTGATCTTATGAATCCAATAGACAAGATTGGAGGAACCTGTTAAATTAGGGAAAAGTTCAAATTTGGAAGTGTTTTAAAAGTCATCATCTTAGAGGAAGAGAGCACTCAAGATGAATATATACTAAGAGGGGATTTTGTCTGGCATGATGCACTCTGGGTAGTCCTACAATGGCTGGCCACATTCTAGAGAGGCTAAGAGGCTGGTCACTGCTCAGTCCATGAGGCTGGACCCCTCAGCAGTCTAAATTCGGTACAGAAGGCCTGGAGGATCCTTGCACACCCTGGTCTTCAGCTCACATTGGAAGGCTGAAGTAGCTGAGTGCTGATGTCAGAAGAGGACATTGGGAGAGACAGCATGGAAAGTATACTCACAATCACGGGATTAAGGTATGCAGGCACAAAGCAATAGCTTTCCCCTCAAACTCTGTACTCAGGCAACTATTGGAAGGTGCTGCTCACTTTGAGGAAGTGCCTTTCCCTTTCATGTAATAGGAAATTGCCCCCTCCAGACCTGTCCGGTGCCATATCTCTTAGTTGATACCAGATCTAATCATGTTGGCAACCAAGATCAACCATCACAATCACTGACAAACATCTTTAGGACCTGTGAAACCTCTGACAGCTAGACACAGCACAGGAATAGAGGCCAAGCCTCACACGCTGACTACTCAAAATTTGATTCCTGTATAAATTGTTCCATGTGTGACTTACAGTTGGCAAAATGCGTTCAAAGTCTGTGATTTGTTTCCGCGTCATAGCAAATTTCAGGACAGACTTTTTGCAATTTCTAATCGCAGAAGGGAATCGTGTAGAATAATAACTGGAATCAATGTTTCTCAAGATGGTGGTTGGAAATGGGGACAGCTCCTGAATAAGCTTCCTCAAGCCTGTCTGCCTATAAAAAAGGGGGGCGGGGGAAGGGAAGAGGAAAGAAGAGAGTGAACAGTGTTCTCACTGAGAGTTTAACAGAGCTTTTCAGTGACGGACTGTGGTGCTCACTCCTGGTGTGTATAGGTTTAACAGCTTCAAGATGTTGCGACCAACACTCACTTTAGAGGACTACTTTCTACTCTCTGATTTTATATGAATTTTGGATGGGGAGTACGAGAAGGGAAAATACATAGTCAATCAGTAGCTACAGTACGAACTGAATCCTAGTCTTTCCCTGTGTTCCAATGAATCAGGAAAGTTTCATGTTCAATGTATTCCAGAATAAACAAGGGCACTTTACCTGGAGCACTATCTTAACCCATCTGTCCTATTGTAACAAAATCCACAAAGCAGGCAATTTATAAGGAACAGAAATGTAGTTTTTATGATCCTGGAAGGTGTTGCTAGCCAACCAGATGACTGGTGAGAACAGTCCTTACATCTAAAATGGGATCTAGTTGCTGCGCCTTACCTAGCATGTGAGTGATATCTTTCCAAAGCAGAATCCGAAAAGGTTCCAACAGTAAATAAAGCTAAAGTTTCTTTAAGAAGGCTACAAATGTGCCCATTCATGAGAAGCCCTCATGATGCCAACTGTAAGTCACACATGGAACAATTTATACAGGAATCAAATAAAAAAACTCTTCACAGTGTTGCCATGATATTAAGTTTCGATGTGAATTTTGGAGGGGCACATTCAGAGCATAGCAATCAAGTAGTTACTTTCAATTTAAATCTCACTTAAATTTGTTCTCTGAGGTTTTTGAAGCCTGTCTTCCAGTCTGGGCTTGGGGACAGAACTACCTATGGGAACCCAGAGCTGCAGTGGTCATCATCTCAATTTCTTCATAGAGCAGCTCTGGATTCTTCTTTGTCCAGAGTCCAAGTAGAGCGGAGGAGTCCCAGGAAAGAAATTGGCAGGCACAAGGTCTGTAACCAAGAAGCCCAGACCTAGAAACCAGAAGTAGGAAGTGAAGCCCCTTTTGTAAGCAATTAGAACAATAATCACACAATGCTGAAATAAATGGAAAATCAGTACACCTGGGACTTTAATATGGGACAGCTTTAGAAGCTGGAAATGGCAGGATGCCATCTGAGGACCTCAATGGGAAGCACCAGGAAGGACAAGAAGGGAATGAGATGGTACAGCCCTTCTTTCTCTCTCCTCTACTGTTATTTTTTTATTTGATGCCTAGAATGTAAATGTTTCCTGAGAGTGCACTAAATAAAGTATTCCATCCATATCTTCATATAACAGATAAAAGAAAATCAGATAACCCAGGGACTACAAGTTTGTATCTAATATGCACAAGCAGACGACTTTAATAAGAACAGGTTCCAATCTCAAGAACAAGTGCGATGTGGCGACATGTGAAGAAGGCAAAACATCAATCAT